TTGCAATAAGTACTACATGCAACATATGCTGCTAGAACATTTTGCTCTAATTTATTTTCGCAGCGAACCAAACAGCCCTTGCTATTTTATTCACCCGTGCATTTTTGAAAAATCTGCATGTCTCAAACCGTGTCGCTCACTTATCATCATAAGTTTCTTTCTGGCAAAAACTCTATCTAATTTATAGTGACATTTGGTGGTTATAATTCTATAATCCATCAGACAGGCCTCGCAAATCCTATCCATTGAGTTTACTTTTTGTTTGTGATGAATCACAGCGCATGGATATATAATATGTTTTTGATTTGAGTAAAGAAGTTGAGTTACAAAAACTTTTACCTTAGGAGTAAAGTAGGGGACGACTCAATTTTTATCTCAGATTTTTCTTTCCCATATTTTTTGATCCGCTAATTAAGAATCATGATTCAATGCGCTCCGTCTCCACTGTTTCCATGCACAGGTGTGAACCACACTTACCAGCACCAATTAAGTAATTGGGGTCCACCCAACAAGTACACAGTTCCCACCTTTATAATTCTAATTTGCTGAATCATGCGTGCGCTAGAACCAGAAGCTTCACATCACTTGCGTGATCCCAAATGCGAAAGCGGGGGTTCAATCGTCTAATCTACGTACTTTGCGTGGGCCTAGAGGCTCGCATTACGTATACTTTGTACTAAAATAAAATAGATGTTAATGGTTAAATTAATGATAGCAGGACTAAGGATTAATTAATTTGTTTTGAAAATGATTGAACCGGTAGTTGAACTGACCGAGTAAATGATAATCAAAAGTTAAATGCATGCAGAAGAAGACATTATGTAAATTTTGAACTTGAAAAGGCGTACTACATGTGAGGCGCTTGAGAATCATTATGCTGAGGCGAAAATCATATCGACACATCGATGTTGTGGCCTGTGGGCGATTTTAATTATATGTGTTACGAAATATGAAGGGCTACGAGAATAATGAGATTGCTTAATCTTAAAACAGAGATTAATACCACCAAACAACTCGTAAGATCTTATGAACAATGCAAACAACAATGAGAACAATAACGTAACTAACGATTATAGAGGTGAACATTTATGTGGTTTGCCACAAGGCCAACGTACATATATGGGAGAACAAAGACAAAGATCTTCATTCACTAATCTTGTAAGCACATCACCGCTATAATCGATTGATCCAAACTCTTTAAATTTATCTTCAATTCCAGCCATCCGATTGATGTATTGCATTCGCTTCTCATACCTCCACCAATCTTGTAAGCACATCACCGCTTGTATAGTATACGAATCTAAGCATGTTATGTGGTTGTCAATCAAACGTCCTGCTGTGCTGAAGGTGGATTCCGAAGCTACCGTCGAAATCTGCATTGTTAGTAAGTCATGCACCATGGTGGAAAGTATCTGATATGAAACTGATCCATATACTCTCCACCATTGCAAAATATCTAAAGCATTTCCTTAACATTTAACTAAAGAAGCAGATAAATATTCATCTATTTCAGAAACCTCCAACGATGATCCAAGTCCAGACCCACCAGTTAGCTCAGTTACCATTGCATGCCTATCAAAACTTACACTTTTACCTCGGCTTGAGCTGGAAGGCGCCGAAGCTGCAGACTGTTGTACAGCTACACCATGTCTAGTTGCGTACTCATCATATAAGGTTTGAAAATAATTTATAATAGCTAAATGATGAGAAGTAGCAATAATGTTGGATCAATCATCTAACTCTATAACCTGTCCACCATACAATGATTGTAACAAACTTCGAAGGCCAATATCCTTCAAACATGGATTAATAAGAACCCCTAAACCAAAAATATGAGGAATATGCCTAAAATACTTATTAAATTTGCTCTCCATTTGAAAAATTATACTTCCAAAAGTATCATTCATACGATATTTGTTATTTTTTTTTTTGAATATTTAAAATTTGTAAAGCAGCTAAAGTAATAGTTGGATAATAACAACCAGATAATAACATAGTAGCATCATAAAAAACTTGTAACATCTCATTTAAATTACATATAATTATCCATTCATCTTCAGTTATTCCATAAGAGCTACCAGAGCTGGAACTATAAGCAAAATAATTTATAAAATTATTTATAATTTCTTTATATTCTATAGCTACACTTAACATTACATAGGTGGAATTCCACCTATGGTCAACATCTTTTGGAATTAGTCTAGCCTTAATATTTTTTCTTTTACACATTTGTTTTCATCTTTTAAGTATTTGTTCAGAAGCAGTATGCATATAAGCAAATATTCTAATCTTTTCTATCATGGGTTTAATTTTAGTAAATGCACTTTGAATAATTAAATTTAAAATATGGCATATACATCTAATATGAAAAAGTTCACCATGACAGGGCAATGACAGAGTTATTTTGAGAAAATCTACAGCTGCATTGTTATTACTTGCATTATCTAGTGAAAGATAAAATATTCTTTGATCAATTTCTAGTTTCATAAGTTCTTCAACTATTAAATTGGCTACATTAATACCAGTATGTGACTCTTCAATTGCAATAAAAGAAACAACTCTTTAAACATTTGCTAATTTTTATCAATCCAGTGTGTTGTGATACATAAATAACATGTTTGTGCTCTAGATGTCCAAATATCAGAAGTTAAAGAAAATTTACAGTTTAAATTTTTAAAATAAGAAATTATTTTTCCTTGTTCCATTTGATAATGTTTTAAAATGTCACGTTGACAGGTTTGACGAGAAAATTTTTTAAAATCGGGATAAAAGCCATCTCTAAACAAATCTTCAAATTCATCATCTTCTACTAATTTAAAAGGAAGGTTTTTAAGAATGATAAACCTGATGACACATTTCCTAGCTCGAGCAGCGTCATAATTCCAAGTACCGAGACTACCAGAAGAGGAGGATTGGGAAATCATAGATTGTCGAATATCACCTTGAGGAGTCTGGCATTTGTTGTGTTTTTCTATATGGCGTTTGAGGTGGTTGGTGCCGCTCTTATGATGAGCTTGAAAAGTCCGGCCGCACAACGCACATTTAGCCTTCTAGGTGAGGATCCTACCGTGTTCATCCTTCGTGACGTCTATCTTCTCAAAAAAATTCCATACATCGGATCTCGGCCTTTTAGGAGCTCTTGGTGCAGATTCGTCGCCACCGGATTTGGGATTACCACTGGTAGGAGGAGTAGCTGTTGTAGGAGGACTCATTTCAATATCGGTAGGAGTTAGATTTTGCTCTTCATAATCAGATCCAGAAGTTATTTGATGAAAGGATTAGAAAGTATAAGAGAGTATAAAAGTGTATAAGAGAGTATTAGAGAGAAGTAGATGAGTTTTGGTGTGAGGAGAAGAAGTGAAACCCCTCTTCTATTTATAGAGACAGCCTCCTAGGCAAATGACCAAAAAACCCTCACCAAATAGCCGTTTTTTGATCGTTTTAAGGGGCGAAACGGTCAAAACGCAAAAATGGCCGTTATGGCCAGGCAGGGTGACCGTTGCGGGCGGGCCGGGCTTCGGGTCCGGGCCGCCCGGCCCGGTTTTGTTGCCCGGTCGGAACTGTTCCTGGTCCGGGCCGGGCGCCAGCGAGGGGACCCGGACCTGGTACCGGACCCGGGTCTGGCCCGGGTTTCCGGGCCGGGCCGGGTTCCAGGTCGGGCCCGGACCGACGGGCTTTTTGGACAGGGCTAATTAGAAGTATGAAAAATTTACCCTAACAGGAGAATACACAAGTTAAAAAATCTCAACAAGAGTCGCTAACATCAACACCGAATGTGAAGAGTCTCTAACCTCAACACAAACGCTCAAAAGAGAGTACACATGTTCGCTTAGGGGGTGTTAGTCAGCTAGAACATTTTTAATAGAAGTGGAACAATTTTTATTATGAGATAATTTTTTAATATAGAATATTTTAATAGGATAATTAGAAGTGATATATTAAAACATGATATTTTAGTAGGACAATGATTAGTATAATTAAGGATAGTTTTCAGAAATCAATAAGCATATAAGTCATGTATTTTAATGATTATACTACTATTTATACATTTTAAAACTTATTATTATTATTATTATTATTATTATAATGTTAGTTAATCTTGAAGGACTATTAGATAGACTATAAGATTAACTTTTTGATTTTTTTTGGAATTATTATTGTAATATAAATTAAAAAATAGTTTATCCTTTTTTCTTTCTTTTTTGATCTACCGGGCATCATTCCACCATCTCTCAATTTTAATTAATTTTTAATAAAACATGAATTCTGTAATTTTAAATTTAAATTAATTATACAATTCAAATATTTAATAAAAAGTAAAAAATAACATTAAATAGAAGGGAATGATAAGAAGAGATGTGATCTAATTTTATAGTGTGATTTGAAGATGACGAAGAAATGAAATATGAAAAATAAAAAAGTAAATAAAAAAGTAAATAAAAAAGTTCTAGTTTTTTACCATGTAGTTCTAACTTAAAACTTAGGGCAATTTGAGAGACTAGAACTCCCTATTTTCTATATAAATTCGACAAAAGTGGGATAAATTTTTACAATTATCTCAGTTCTACTTTTTATCCAGTTCTTGTTGACTAACACTGTATAATTTTATCCTAATTCTAATTCCAATGGTGGAATGATGATTCTAAAGTTGAATTCTCTAAATCCTTTTCCCCTGATTCCTCTTTGCGAAACCGACGATAAAGAGAGAGATTAATAAACCCCAGATTTATCCAGTTAAGATTCCCTTACCTCACTTCAACGTACAAAAGATTTAGAGAGGAGAAAAGCAAACAATGAGCACAAGAAAAACAGAAAATGCGGCAGAGGCATGCATCTAAAACTGTTAAATTTCTAAATATTCCAACTCTATGGAAAATAATAAGTTTTGACCTAGAACTTTTTCTCAGCTACGGTCTCTTTTTCTTGTAATGCATGCTTGAGCTCGGTTAAAGCTTTATTCATCTAAACAGCGGCTTATATCCTCAGTGTTACAAACAAAAGATTGAATACCAAAATCTGATTAGCAAAAAACCTGAACAGAAGCCTTACTCTGAAAAAAAGGAAAAGTTGCAGATGATCCTATATTTATACCTTCAGCAATATGCATCACCCCTTAGCTCATTCGTTAACACTTTTCTCTCCTGAGATTGGCACTTTGAGAAGGATAAGTTGCAGATAAACCTCTCTTCCCCATGAACTAAGAATGTGCTCAGTGCTAATAAAGATATAAATGAAGGGGTTATTTACAATCTACCGCCAAAAGAATTATAAAGTTAGTTGTAGATCAATAGCCAAGAACAACGTAAAAGAATACTTCAGCTCCGCAACTCCAGCTGAAATAAGGTTTGCATGCTCAGCTGAAGAATAAGATGTGCAAGAATGTAGGGGTCTGCCCTTCAAGCTGAGATAAGACCAACATATCCAGCAAACACAGCCAAGATGCCAGATAAGGCATATGCGCTTGCAACAATGACTGGTGTTTTCAACCCCCATAGTTTAAGGTGATAGTGCAAAGGCGGCGGTCGACGAGCAAATTGAGAAGATTTTACAAACAGAGCCTGAATGATTAAAAAAAACCTCATTTAGCAATTCTGGATGTATAACTTAATAAGTGCTCATGACTCAGAAGGCAGGAGAAAATTGAAGTGACAATGAAGGCATCAAGCTGTGGAGTAAACAGAAATTTTTAAAATTGAAAGATAAAGGGGAGAAAAACAATGGTTGTTGGAGGACTTTCAGATGATCAAATTCCAAACAAAATAAATCTTGTCAATTGCTGTGCAATTCATTACAGTGTTTAGGTTTTTGGGATGTCTTGATTCCTAACCAATCTGTTATTATTCCCAATTTTCAGTTTCCATCCATTAAAGTAAGTTCACAGAGCAGAGTGGAGCGACTCCGACTATTAAAGGGGTATTCAGGAGATCCTGTCTTGAGAAAATAATTCTAGGATTTCAAATAGGCGTGAAGGTCCATATACAAGAATCTCTTTTGATTGTACTTCTCCTCTCTTTCCTAATTAAAAGGGATCATTCGCTGTCACCCAAGAACAGAAGATTTGCTCTGAAACTGATTAATTTTGAATGTGTTTACGATTGTCACTGTTCTGTGATTTGTCTCGATCTATGTGCTCTTGCATGAGATAGGTTCAGCTCTATAACCTTTGAAAAGAAAGCTTATGTTAAAAAGTGGACTCCCCAAGTATTATAGCCATGCGAATAAATGTGAAGATAATTAGTTTTGGAAGAGAAAAATAAGAAAATTGAAAGCAGACAATAGGTTTAAGATGACATTGACCAAAGATTAGTATGCTACAAGCTGCAGATTCTTATAAAGGAGCCTTTGAAAACCATTGGCCCTTTCAATTTATTTCATCTATTCATAGTTTCATACTACAAGATAGCATATTTTGACATATAAATTGAATATATCCACCATCAATCTCATCATCAACACTCTTAGGCAACTGAAGCCCTGATATTTACGGGTACCAAATTGGTTACCGAATACATTTGTAGATAATCTGTATTGAAATTTTGTTGCAAGTTTATGTCTTATAAACTATTGACCTGATGTATAACACTCCACCAAAGTTAGACATCTCCCGAACAGAAACTGAACTTAATAATTATGAACCGAATGCATGAAAAATAAGAGTTAAAGCATACCTGAATTATCACTGAAAGCATTTCAAGGGCAAAAATACCCGAAGATATAAACAGAGGAAGAAACATTCCAGTGCAAGCAGCCATTGCAGCCAATGCTCCACCTAACGCAAGGGATCCAATATCACCCATCAATATTGAAGCTTTGTACCTGTTGTGGAAAAGAAAGCCAATACAAGCTCCTGCCATTGACGCTCCAAAAATAGCAAGGTCTGTTCATAATAAATGCAGCATTATAACCAGCACAAAGATAACCTGATATATAGAAAGTCAATGCAGCATCATCCTGAGAATACTTGGCTCACTAGGCTAAAAATCAAATGTAAAATGCATAGTATTGAATATCTGGGTTATGTTTTGATTCAGTTAATTGCCAGTTAAGATAGTATATTAAGGTAAGCAGTAATCTATACTGACCAGGACATATGGGGAGAACAGCAACAGACATCCCTATAAAAGCCAATGCAGAAACCCCTCCTACCAAACCATCAAGTCGATCAGCTAAATTTAGTCCATTTCCCATTGCAACAAAAGAGAATGTTGTCATAACCAGATAATATTTTCCCAAATATGCAATACCGTGAGGTGGGGGAAGAGGCACCAAGAACTTCCTTCAATATAAAGAGAGAAATAACCATAAATATAGCTTGAACTGACTGTATTCAACAGAAAACACAAATTTAATCTTCCATCGGTTTTTCTATCAGGAGGCAAATAGTGGGGCTCGACGTTCAAATACACAGAATGTGTATGTATTAAAATTGGGTTAAGAAGGTCCAAGGGGCACATTGGGCTTTGGCCTTTTTTGAAGAAAAATAACTACTTGATCATATTGGTTATGGAGATTACATTTTGTATGGTGTTGGCATGTCTACTGAATACAACCAAAATGAAAACCATGTTCCAGCAGCTACCTGTTGAGAACACCATATAAAAGTCAGTAGGATTTGAAAAACTCATGAAAATTTTACTAATATATGTGTGCTTGAGTACAAATTCAAGTATGAGAGAGGAGTTACTGAACCTTGAGAAAGAATGTAATCCATCGGAGTCGTCGATAACTGTGGTCATCGTTAAATTTAATGACGTCACCAAACAACCCGATTGCTGCAAATGTAAGAGTTGCTAATGCTGCAGCATTAACCTGAACAGAACTGATTCCTGCTACACTTCTGGCAATAGCGAGGCCTATTGGAATAAAAAATAAGCCACCAAGTGTGGGAAGCCTCTTTCTATGAGAATGTCTGGCAGGCCCATGTTCTCTAAGCATCTTTTGTATCCTCACGCTATCAGCTATAGGTACAAATATGCATCCAGCACATGCTGCCATTACTGTTGATAGCGAAAAAGGTTGTGTCAGGAAAAAAGGTTCCAAAGGTAGTCTAACAATCTTCCATGAACACCAGTCGACGAATGAAAGAAACAAGGCTAAGAAGGCAATCAATCCCATATTAATCATGACTCCATGTTGAGTTCTGGCAGTAGAGGTATAAAACAAATTCAGATTATTAATTGTCTTGGCTGCATGATAATTGATAATACAAGGATATATGTAGAGAAACACCCACTATTATTTGTCATGGCTGCATGAGTGCAGGGCACTAGATGAGTACCATTTCAAAGCTAAAAGATGTTGCCAGTGCATTATGTTACGCATATAGCATGCATGCCTCATACATACAAGGCAAGGGTACCAGAAGAGGTACACAAAAAGATTTTCATTCCATAATGAATTTATTTATTTAAAATACATGATTTGCTTTCAAATTAAGCTTAAGCAATAGAAAAAAAGGAATTGTTGAAGTCTTTTGAGCTAGATAATTCATACACTTCGAGTTATGTTATATGGGGAAGTTAGTTTCAGATTTGACGAAATGTCCTCTATAGGTTGGAAAGCAGGAGTTTCATAAGTAACCTCTAGATGTTATTTAGATAGGGGTACAAGTAACTGAATAAGACAGTCCTGCGGATTCTAAGGAATAAAAGAGTGCCCTACTATAGAATAGTAAAACGACTCCATTTTCCCCAGCAATCTCATTGTTAGGACTTCACTAAGTCTCTGTAGTGTGCGATTGATCTAACCAATCAAACAACAATTCAAAAATCTGGAAAGATCACTTTCGAGCATGAACTTGTTAGTTTGAAGTGTGAAGTAGTCGACTAGAAACTTACATCAACATACAAGACTTATGTTAAATGTTTTAGTTGCTTTCATCATTAGGACAGTCAAATGATAAACAATTTTAGCAATATAACAATCAATGTTTTAAAAAGTGGACGCCTAGCATAACTTGTAATCTTATGAGCTGTTGGATATGACAAGCAATGTCCTCAACAATTGAAGTGTCTGGATGAATCAAACATAAAATAAAAAAAAACAAATTTTGGGTGTCCTGTCAAGTACACTATAAGATGCTTGAAAGACAGCATACACATCTACAAGCAACAAAAGCATAACTTGTACACATGAAAACTTCAACAAATTCAAGTAATAATAAAAATATAAAGATTTCAAAATAACATTACCTCCTTCTCTTCCTATGCCCTCTCTGAATCTCACCAAACCGATGCACCGTCACATTCAACGCCCCTTCAGGCGTCCCCCCATGACGCTTCTCGCTCAACGGCAGTTCATAATCACCAACTGAATTCACCATCATATCAGTATCACTCTCATCACCACTGGAATACATCATATAATAAGGATCCAATCCCGATCCGTCATCTCCCTCATCAAAAACCAAAGAGCCGTCCATAAAATCCTACATAAGCAAACTCAATCACTCAACCCGCACCAAAATATAATGATGCAACTTGAAGTCTAAATTTCCCTAACATAAAAAGTTTGAAGATATGGGGGCCTGATAGGTAATGACAACTAACCATACAACAAAATCCAAACTTCTTTGTACTGCGCAAAACAAAAATAAAATTGGGAAAGAATTAAGGGTCTAATATAACAAAACTCTTATCTAAAACCAACTTCATATAATTTCGGGGCTTAATATAAAATGAGAAAGCATTCAGGGTCTAACATCAACCAAAAAAAAATTCTTTTTTGTAAGTACTTACATCGTCCATTGCTGAAGGAAGAAAGGAAAGGTTATGAAATTGAGATCGGAGAAACCCCAGGTTGTGATTCGGCGATCGAGCGTTGACGATGGATCCAGAACGAGAGACATTAGCGAAGATCGGCGATCTAAAAGATCTTGAATAGGGAGTTAGCGGTCGATGGATTCGTAGATTGATAAGGTGAAGATTAGCAGAGCACATCAGAGATTTTGATTTTGATTTTGATTTTTTTTTTAAAGAATTTAATTCGAAAGTCAGCGATGAGAAGCGTAGAAGAAATTTGTAGTAGATCGAAAAACGACGGAGGTTTCAAAGTCTGGGCAAAAGGCAGAGAGTTTAAGATTTTGGGGGACCGCCGGCAAAATCCCACGTGGTTTTTTAGTCGGGCTCAGGGGCTGCATTGTCGACCCGAATCCGATTTAAGGGCCCGGTTGATTTCTTAAAAATCGAAGAAAAAAAATAGGGTAAGTAAACTATTAAAAGTTGATTTTTATTTATTTTTTTTTTAAAAATCATGAAATGAGTTTCCTTAAAAATGAGTCTCATCATCCAATAATATGGTAACAACTCACATTATTTCATCTATTTTATTAGTTTTAAGAAGCAGACTAAACACAAAAAAATAACCTATTATAGAAAATATGTTTCTTATAATTGATTTCTTTTTTTAGCCGACCAAACAACCCCTAAAAGTCTTAGATGTTGGATCAATGCCAAACTGCCTACTTAGAAAACTGACTAATTGCACGTGACCAAAAATAGAAATTGTAGGTACGTACTTTGAAGAAAACTTACACAATGTTATTTTCAACTAAGTCTCGGTTTATTTATTGATTTAAATATTGATAAGTAATGTTGTTTTATTTATTAAGTTAGTAAGATGAATTTTTTTATACTTTTCTTTACTATAATTTTGTATCTTTATTTCTCTTTTCTATAGCATTTCAATTGTCATTGATCTGGATGCAAAAAGTACTCATATCACTTTTATATTTTTTTTTCCACAATCTACATTGGCCATTACCATTATTATTTAATTTTTATAATTTAAAACTTAGTATTAATAGAAGTATTTTAATATTTTAAATTCATTAATTTGTTTTTTTCAAGCTCTAATTTTTGAGGTCTTGTTTATAGTTTGGTTGTGTTGTAATCTCGTTATTGTATCTACATACATCACATATCAAAAGTAAGAATCGAACATGAAATGTAAAAGTAAATAAACAAGAAAAGGAGATAGGGATAAAGTGATCATCTCATTTTATTCATCTTCATTTCTCCTCAATACATTTTGTCTTCCATGGATTACATTATATAGATGTGGAAGAGAATACTAAAAGTCACAAGTAGGTTGTAACATTCCAAAAATTTTTTCCCATTGCATTGATCGGATACCGTTACCGACACCAATCCATAAATTAGTAGATGCTTTTCTTCATTTCATCTCATATAATCTACTAGTATGAGAATTTAACTTAGCTAATTCTCATATTGTGATCTAGTTAACTAAGTCATAGCATGCATACAAACTTAGCATGTAAACCTAAGTTAACCATGCTTTAAACCTTGATTAGAGATAACCAAATCATTAAATACCTAATGTGAAACTCTCTAATTAACATAGTTATTATATTTGTTCAGCCATGTTAGTGGGGGAAATTTTGCATAAAACCCCTCAACTTTGGCCAAATTGAGGATTTCTCTTCACATGGGCTGTTATTAAGGATGTTATAACTGAATTATATAGTTAATTTAGATTTAGTCTTGCATGTAACATTTTAGGGCATGCATGTCAATTTATCTTGAAACAGAAATTTCGTGCAGAAATTTCCAGCAAGATACACTACCACTAAACAGATCATAACTTTCTTTGTATATATCTAAATGAAGAAATTCTTTCTGTTCTAAAAACTAGACTTTCTTGGCTTTCATTTGAGACACTGTTTGCTTAATTCTGAGATCATTTACTTGTTTGAAAGTATGGTTTAACTCAGTGCATGTGTCTGAAACTGTCTGCCTGAGCTATGTCCTTTGTAAAGAACATATATCTCAACATATACCATGCATGCATGAAATTCTTTCTGTTCTAGAAACTACATATTCGTGGCTTTCATTTGAGATCTTGTTTGTTTAATTCTAAGATCATTTACTAGTTTAAAAGTATGGTTTAACTCAGTGCATGTGTCTGAAACTGTCTGCTTGAGTCATGTCCTTTGTAAAGAGCATATATCTCAACATATACCATGCATGCATGAAATTCTTTCTGTTCTAGAAACTACATATTCGTGGCTTTCATTTGGGATCTTGTTTGTTTAATTCTAAGATCATATACTAGTTTAAAAGTATGGTTTAACTCAGTGCATGTGTCTGAAACTGTCTTCTTGAGTCATGTCCTTTGTAAAGAGCATATATCTCAACATATACCATGCATGCATGAAATTCTTTCTATTTCTAAAACTAGACTCAATTGTATTTCTGTTGATAGGAGTTTGAATTAATTTGAATAACGTTTGGTAGGCCTAAACCTAGTTCTAATAGCTAGCGTATGTGCTGGAAATTCCAGTCTACCCCCCTGTGTTGTTTTGCATGTAACATGCATTTTAAAAATGCAAAATTGATGAAACTCATGGGAAATGGAAGCTAATCCATAATATTACTTACATACCAAGTATGAGCTCTTTGGGATATAGTTAAGTACCTGAAATAAATTATTCATCCCAAATGATGATCTCTATTTTTCTGCTACAGTTTTGATATGTGTAGTTTTCTGAGAGCATGACTCTTACTATACACCATGCATTGATGTAAAAGTTTTATATTATGAAAATAGACTCATAATGGAGTCATTTGAGACTAATTTCATGCATTTTGAACATCAATTGCTGTACCATCTATTCACCTAAATCTGCTGCATGTACACTACTTAGGTTGCTGTGCATATTAGAGATATTAGATGCAATCATCTAGGGTGTAGCTTATACCATGATATAAGTTTTAAGTTAAAGTTTTAAAAGACATAGTGTCTAGAATCTCATGTGGGTATACATGTATATATAGGACAGAGAATCTTGGATTCATTCGTTGGCCGAGAGGATCCCGACATAATCGGTAGGTAACCTTTCATTGTTTCCTCTCAAGTCTTTGAGAGTTCGATTGATTACTTTCTTGAAATTCCTGCGAGTTAGTTTCCCATGCTAATTGTATATCTTATCATTTTCATAATATTCCTATTTGATTCACCTCATGCATGGGCTCGTTGTTGATTGGTTAATCATTGCTATCCTAATGTTGTTTATTTCAGTTTTATACCTTCGATATCCTTGAATGATTTCATTGCAACAATTCAAATTGATTCGATGGTTCAACTATTGATAATGATAGTATTCCTCTCTTCGTTGATGATTGATTGTCTATATTCATGGATTATGCCCTGTGTGAAGTAAGCTTCACCGGTGGGTGGTAATGTTATAGTGTCCCGGTGGGACAATGCCCTGTGTGAGGACGCTCACCGGTGGGTGTATAAAAGCATGCGCGGTTTATTGATTATCCCATGATTGGGGAGTTTGGAATCCTGAATATTAGACCTTGATTATTCATCTTTACATGTTATTTCACTTCGGTCAATGATTACGATATAAGAATGGCAACTTAATGTTGAGACCCCGTTGTTCAAGTTTGATATCTATGTCTATCATTTTCATTCGTTCCCTTGGATTGTACCCGAGATTTTTATGGTTACCTATTGGGCCTTAGGCTCACCCCTATTGTTTCTGAATCCACTCGCAGGTCATACAACTGGCAAGGATAAGGGCATTGCAGACCCTGAATTTGAAGATTAGCTCCAGAGGAAAATCTTAATAGGAGTTAATTATGTTCACTTTTGTAGTACCTTTAACTTATAAAACATGTACTAATATTGTAGCCACTGCTATTATTGTAATGTTTTGTATTACCCTTTAGTTCTCTTCTATTGTGGTATTCAATGGACTCTGCTGTCAACCTCGTGATCTTGGGTATTGCATATGCATCTCTACTGCATTATTTTTCGCCCTTCAGTATATCTATGTTGTGATGTGCATAAAGATTTAGCAGGTCGACCCTTCTTATTACAGATAGGTCATGCTCAAATTTTTATGTACCTCCCAGAGGAGGGGCGTTACATAGGTGAAGAGACTTCTTCTAGTAATATCCACATTCATTATATTTATATTTACAACACTCCCCCTTGGACATTACTACCTGATGTCAATGCCTCGTTAAAAACCTCGCTAGAAAAACCCAATTGGATAAAAACTAGTCGAGGAAAAGAGTACACGACATTAGTAGATCATTGTTGCATTAGTTGCCTCATTAAAAACCTTTAACTAAGAAAACCATGTAGGACAAAACTTAGTAAAGGGGAAAAGAGTACAACTATAGATCTTCGGGATCCAAACTTGTGTTGCATTAGTTGCCTCATTAAAAACCTTTAGCTAAGAAAACCTTATGGGACAAAACTTAGAAAAAGGAAAAAAGAGTACAACTATAGTCCTTCAAGGCATAATCTTCGGGATTACATTGAAAATTCGCTCCCCCTGATGATGACAATCTTCTAAGTCTATGCTAAGAAAAACCCAGTGGGACAAAACTTAGCGAAAAATAGCAAATTATGATAACAGACCTTCAGGGCCCAATCTTCAGGATTGTTCTTTAAGAATTTGCTCCCCCTGAAGAAGATAGTCTTTCAAGCCTATGCATATTGTGAACATATTTCTCATAAGTTGACGTAGGCAGAGATTTAGTGAACAAATCTGTAAGATTGTCACTTGAGCGAACTTTTTCGATGGTGATTTCGCCATTCTTTTGGAGGTCATGTGGATAAAAGAATTTTGGCGTAATATATTTTGTCATGGTTCCTTTTACATATCCACTGCTCATTTGTGCAACACAAGCTGCATTGTCCTCATAAATGACAGTAGGAGGAATATCATCTTTTGCTAGACCACACGAGCCACAAATATGTCGTATCAACGATCTTAATCATACACATTCTCGTGAGGTCTCATATAAAACGATAATCTCTGAGTGGTTAGAAGAAGTAGTCACCATGGTCTGCTTAACAGACCTCTAAGAAACGACAGTACCACCACAGAGAAAAATATAACCAGTCTGGGATTTGGCGTTATGGGAATCAGACATAGCCAGCATCCTAATAGCCCACCAATGTCATATCTTGGTTTCTCTTATAGAATAGTCCAAGAACTTTTGTACCTTGAAGAGTTTAACACCATTTCAATGGCTCCTTGTAGGAGAAGCACTATACCTTGCTAACAAGTTCACCGCAAATGCAATATCAGGCCTGATGTAATTTGTGAGATAGAGAAGTGCTCCAATGGCGCTCAGATAGGGATCTTCTAGCCCTAATATTTCTTCATTATCTTCTTTG